GAGTGACCCTGAAGCATGCACAATGCATTCCCTTTGAACGAACCTAAACCCGAGGTACTAGGAAGGCACAAGTATACCCAATACATTCAGTCCATGCTATCATACTGGAAACAGTTCAGTGTAAAACCTTCTGAAATCCTTATAGCATGGACATCAGATCCTTAGGGCTAGCTATTGCACTTTACAAGTCTATTCCTGTTCATTCTGCGTGTTAATGGGGATTCGGAGATTCAGCTTTCCTTTTTCTGCTCAAAAGCGCACAGAGAACAGGTGGAGATGTGTTGAAGAGACAGTTCAGATGCAACCCTGGGTGTTGCTGCTGTGATAATTCTGACATCTTCTTGCCTGTGGGGCAGATGGGCAGGTCCTGATTTCAGGACAGTTGCATGCTCAGGTGAGTTGCTGCAACTGTAGAGCAGAATAAATATTTGGATTTTGTGCTGTTCCCTAGGATCTGAAGTGACACAGTCAAAACACTACAGCCAACTGCAATTGTAGCATCGGGTCATGTTGTTCCTACTTTTATATTTCTGTTATCAGCAATTTGCAGTTCTAGAGGAGCACTCGTGGAATTACACGGCTGCCTTTTTCTGCCTGTTCTGAGACAGCCAGGTGATGAGTACAAATAAAAGCAGAGTTAGGTTCTTTACTTTTATCCTCCTTTTCTCACCAGGATGCAATAACATTAATGATGAGCTCTTGTTGCCACTACCTCGTCTCATCACTGCGATCTTAGGATTTCCCTTGCAAATCTGCCTTGAATCAGCTTTTCTACAGCACCTATGCTCTGAGGTTTGCCAAGCCAGAAAACTTGGACACCTTATCTTCTTTTGTAATAAAAGAGGATGAACTACAGAGGCTTGACTCAAAGAACAGGCCTTGGAACATACGATTAAAAAAATTGGAGATAACATTCAAAATTAAGATCTAAGGTTCCACACTGTTTCTGTCCTTTAAGCCATTTCTAGAGGGTAGCTCCCTGCAGAGGGAAGGGCGGCGGGGGGGTGGGCAGTAAATGAGTTGTATGTGGTTTCATTTCAGTGAGACTTCTGGTACTATCCCACATGCTCAGAAGTCAAGTAGGTAGAGGTAAGTAAGATGAAATCAGTATAAAATGGAAACACACTACTCTAAAGAGTAGTTTGAAGTTCTCTGTCAAAGTAGGAGGTTGTATCAAATGGGGTCCTACCTACGGAGCTGTCTCTCTGTCCCGGCTCCCTTCCCGTTCAATACTTTCATGGATTAACAGAAGGGAGATTATTGTAAAATTTTCATGTGATACTAAAGCTCTTTGAGGAATAAGCTTATGATTTAAAATATTTTTCAAGAAGGGATATAACGGCCAGAAATCAATACTAAGAAATTCAGTACACAAGGTAAAATGCTTAGGGGAAGTAAAATCAACATTTCAAACATAAGAGATAACAGACTGCAAAGAAGATACCTGGGGATCAGTGTGTCCACAATGTGGTGGCTGTTATAATGAAGAGAAAAAAGGTCTTAAGTGTGAAGTGTCATAGATACGTCAGAGGGTTACATATACTGCTGTAGCTGAGGTACTGATCAGGAATCAGCTGGAATATCGTGTCCTGCTTGCTTTGGCACACAGTTTACCATCCAGAGAATGGCATTAGGAATATTAAGAGGCTTAGAAAAGATGAGCCGTGAGAAACAGCCAGAGTACTGTGGGAGTAAGACCATAACAGTCAGTTAGTCTTCATGCATGCCCTTTTAGAAAGAGACAATATGTAATTTTTGGCTGCACAAAGAGAAATTTAGGGCTGATGCTATGTCAGCCATGTCGAAAAGGGTGTTTAAGCACTGGAACAGGTACTAGGGGGGCTTGTGCAATCGTTTTACTAGTCTTAAGAAGTGGTTCAAGTTCTCTCAGGGAAGATCGAAAATCTAGTGTTGGGTGCTAATAAACAGTTGCTTACACCTTTTTTAGCCAAGTTTTGGATGATGATTTTAATCTGCCAACATGGTTGTTTATCACAAACAACTGGAAGCCAGTGGCTCGTTACCTCGTGGTGGCTTGGTCTGCTTCCTGGATGCTGCATTAGGTGAACGTGCTGGACTAGAAGACCTCTCAAGTTATATCCCAGCCCTTGTTTTGGTAGGTCAGAGAAACAAGATCAGACGTATGGAGATCACGTTTCAAGGCTTGATTGTTTCTGTCGTACTGACTCATACCAAAAGAGCAAAGTGTGTTGAGTACAGTCTAAAGAATTACTTTCTCGAAGTTCCAGATTGGTCCAGTGTGGAAAAATACAAGACTGGATTTCTGTTAGGTCTTTGTGCCTTTCCGGGGCTACCTGTGTAACTATGAGATTTAGGAACATAAGAAGTTCTGCTGAGGTTGATTGAACAGGAGTTTTGTTTTGACTCCAGTAGAACAAGGATTTTACATGATTTTTGAAAATTTGGGAGAGGAGACTTTCATTTGCATATTTATCTGTAACTTCTTGGGAGAGAGTTAATGCTGTTCATGATTGTGCATGGACGATTTGATACATGTTGAGTACAGGGCTTATTATATAGTGGTTTTGCAGGTGGTATTTTCAGTTTTTGTAAATTTTAATTCCAAATATTATTTTTAAAAAGTTATAATCAGTTTCATCTGCTGTAGTTAGTTTTTGTAAACCACCTCCGTTTAATAAAGGTCTTGAATATTTGAGGCGGTGAAAGCTAACATTTTCCACCTTCCAAAAAAACGGTGAGTCAACAGCCCACTGTTCTACAAATAAAATCTTGCGGTCTTCTTCATGTTACTTTGATGGATGGAAGACTGGGGGCATAATTAAAAGTTGTTGAATAATTTGTGAAATAAACCAAATAATTCATTACCCTTACATTTTCTGTCACTGTAGTCATGTGTAGAAAAGTCGTGGGCCAACTGAATTACATAATTCTGAAAGACTTGTCTTTGTGCAGACACCATTTCTTCTTCCTCATCCTGTTGTAATGGTTGCTGACATAATGTAGCATTTCAGTAGCTTTGTAATCATTATTTTCTTTCTATGTATCATATGCTAATGAGCAAACAACATAATGAAATTGCATCACAGAGATGCTGCATTTGATATTACTTGCCGCAGGACTTTTTTCCCAATGATGGTGTAATTGTAAATGTTTTTGAGTGCCACATTACACCCATGAATTTACAAAGGTTCATTAGATCAATTTTGGGACAAAGACACTGGATATAAAGAGTTGTATGCCTTGTTGAGTCTCATAAAATTGCAAATATCAACCACATAATTTCATTTTATTGCTTTATCAAGAGATGTTAGTGTTCTGAAATGCTTATTGGATTTTTATGTGTAGGATCTCGATACATACACATTTATGTACTCCTATGTGTTTATTTTTTATTTTTTTATTCATCTGTGTTTTAATAGAAGACTAATTGTGAAGGTGTATCTGTTGATTTGCATGTGGATTACTTGTTATGAATCTAGGGGAACCATTCTTATAAGAGTTGTTTTGTAAAAGGAGGAATTGGGTTTTTGCATCTGTCTCTGAAATATCGCCTCTCTTACCTGTCAGGTTCACTAGATCACTAACTGCATAAAGGACTAAGCACCTGGTTTGAGCTCATGGCTGGACCTACTTTGAGAAGGAACTAGGACTAGACATCTGCTAAGGTCCCTTCTGACCTGAATTATCTTGTGATCCTAATCCACGACTCTGTGATCTTGAGGCAATGACACCCCTCTGCAGGCAAGAGGATGTGCCACTAGCAGGCATGACTCCTGCGAGCAGCCTGTCCTGACCCACAGCTCCATGTGCCCCATGGCCTCACGGACATGGGTTCATACATACCTCCATTAAGTGACAGGATGTGACATGTGGCCCAATGCATGCTGTCAGGATTCCTGAAAATGAGGGTGTCTGAATGATGAGTTTATGTCTACAAAGAAGCACTGACAGGACACCAATTTATTTAATAATCACTTCCTAGCAACTTAGTAATACCAGCCAGAATTGTTGAGTTGTCCAAGCATCATACTAAGTTTTGAGTGTTTTGCTAGGAATAGTTTAAGGTGGAAGGAAAATTTAACCATATTTCCTAGCCATAGGTATGCATGGGCTAATGGAAATGAAGGGGGCGAAGTCAGGGAGGAGAGAACCGCTCAGGAGCCCAACTTGAGCAGCCTCTACCCTCACAGTGCAGTGACCTCCGGCCCTGGCACAGACAGCACAACCATCAGGTAATAACATCCACAACCTCGCACCCCCAAAGAGACAAGCGTTTACATCTGAGGATGAAATGACATGCCCACCACCATCTACTCTTTTCCAGGCTAAATTACAAGCCCTGTTCTTCAGTTTCTATTCATATATGTTTCAGCCCTAGATGTTTTAGGGGTTTATAACTCCTGGACTTGGGTATTAATGACTTAATCAAAATACAGATATATGGATGGGGGAAAAGGCAAGGTAGTCCAAACTTTTTAAGCAATAGAAAATACAATATCCAAGCCATTATTTATGAATAATTAACTAAATGATGATACAACCTTAAGTAATTTTATTATTAGAAATAGCATGATAGTGTTTTGGAATACCTCAGCACTTTTAAACTGCTGAATGTTTGGTATTCATTTGGTATCCACAATGTTGCATAGCTTGTTGTTATTTTATAGCGTACTTCTCCTCTTTTCCTTTGTGAAGCTTTTGTTAAAACCCAAGACTGTGTGCCCTAACATCTACAAACCTGTAAAAACGTATATAAAGTAGAATTAAAACTCAGATGTTTAATGTATTCTAGGAATCTGAAAGGTGGATGGAAAAATCATTATCAGATGTGTCAGTATCTCCATATTTTCTTTAACTTCTGTGTGTTTCCAGAAGTGTAAGATACCGCAGAAGGCAATCTCATGTTGCATGAGTATGAAATAACTTTCCCAGAAGGGAGAGTTCGCACCGAGCTCTCTTAAATAGGGACTGGTTCATGCCCTGGATCAGGAGGGTCATTTTGCAGCCTTGAAGGTTTTGAAAACCATAAAAAAAGGTCATCTAATGCAAAAGAGAATATTCCTCACCTGATCCATTGTCATTCTTCCTATCCCCTTGTCTGTCAGTTGCAAAACACAGGTACTGTGAAACTGCATAATAAGAGAGGAGATGTGATAAAAGAATCCGTAGGAAGGCGTTGGTAGCTCTCAGGGCATCATGATAGCTGGGGGCAGCAGGAGCCCCGGGGTGGCAGGGCAGGGTCTGGCAGGCTGTCCTGTCCCACCAGTCAAGGCTCAGCCAAAAGCTCCAGGGACTAGGGCTGGGACCCGACTGCTGCCCTCGGCACCCGGGAGCCTCTGCCCATGGGCACCCATGGAAGGGGCCACCCATGCTGCGCTGGTTCCAGGAGGGATAGCTGGGTCATACATGGTACACAATTAAATCTCATCACTTGCTTAAATCTTTTTATATTTAATTTCAAATATAAGCTGTGGAACATCAGTTTTTTAAGGCTTTCTCATCAGCAGATCTCTCAAAATATTCCATCTGAGATGTAGGTCCCTGCGTATACGTATAGGCCAAATGATGACAAACTTGGACTTATGCATGCTGCAGAAGGGATCGATCTACGTGGCATTGTGGAAATCTATCATTGTGCAAATATTGTAGAAAAGCACTCAATGGAGTTATTATTTTCAATAGATCACTTGTTTACGGACCATAATTTTGTGTATTTTGAATTTGTTGGATCAATTATCAACTGATTTAGGCTGTCTTCTACTATCTTCTTGAAAAGTGAATTTAGGAGTGGGAGAAAATGATTTATTCCCCCCTCCCCTTTTCATTCATTTTGAACAGATGTAAATGACTCCAGGTTCGAAGCTCATTTAAAACTTTGATAACACTTCAAAAGTTTGATAACACTTTGAATCGGTTTTAGAGTGAGGGAACAAGATCATTTATGTGGAATAGGATGTGGGGGGAACTTCAGCAGCTCTCCTTTTGGTGCTCCCCCCACAGACAATATGAAGTACATTATCCTTCTACACTTAGGCAGAGGGTACCTCAATTAATCAAATAGTCGTCGTGAGGTAATGACATGCACAGGTCTATCTGCTGTGGTGCATCATAAGGGAAATGCTTGGTTATCTTGTAGTAATTTCTTTACATATTCTCACCCTTTTACATCATTTGCACTTTTGCCAGGTATTGCTCACTGATATATAGAGATGTTTTTCGCATGGGTAACACAAATACAATGAATGCTTGAATTAAGAGGAGGTTCCTCCAGTCTGCGGGACCATTGAGTTGTTAGAACATCAGCACAGATGTACATCTGTGGCTCTTCCATACCTGTGCCTGGTCTGGCTGAGTTTGCTTGTAGGAAAAGGGCACTTATCACAATATTTATGTTCTTCATCTTAGTCCTTACATCAAATCCTTTCCATGTGGGAACAGCTAGTATATTCTTCCATAACAGGCATCTAACCTCACATGAAATATTAGAGGGATCACAGAGCCATATATTCAATATATTGCTGCCTGAACCATGATTACTAACTGATACATCGCTGTTTCAAGCATTAGTTTATCTGGGAAAGAAGCTTTTCAGCCTTTACATTTTTAATAGACTATTTCCTTTTGTAAAAGTGAACTCGAGTATAAAGTTGAGCTAATATGGGAAGACTTTGCTTGAATAAACTGGTATTGCTTATACTTAAATTATGTATATAAATATGACACCTCTAACAATATAGGGGCTGTATCCTTTGCTATATACTCTTAGGGTGAATCACAGCCTATCTGTGCTTCAGTCTTCCAGTATACACAGTGGAGATAATAAATTCTGTGCTGATTCATGCACTTAATGAAAAAATAAAATTTGCTGATTTCTGGGCAGGAATGTGAAGTGTTACAAATTTCTTGCTACTAGTATGAAGTTAAAAACCTGCAGAGTCATTTTGATGCCAACAGTTCAAATGTAAACAATTCACAACGGTTTTACTCTGTGTCTCTGAATGGATATGACTGTATGGCACAGTTCAGTGCTCCCTGGGATAAGGTAATTTAGGTACAGAAAAGGAACAGAAGGACCAGCTTGAGTTAAAATAACCATCTCCCAGCAGTTAATGCAACTATGTTTCTTGCAACTTGCTTTCTCTTTTGACTCTGAAGTTTGTGTGGACATCCTTTATAGTCTTCTCTTCATTGTAGTCATTCCAAAATTTTATCCTTGTGATACCTCCACAGTGCAAGGCTGGAGAAGGCCAGTGAAGATCCAGCTGTCTGCTCTGATAATGGTTAGCTCACTCCCTACTTCTTTTTTCTTTCCCAGAAGGTCTCTCCGAGACAATAGCTAGGCTTTGTTTTGGAAATAGTATGCTCTGGAGGTATTACCCACAATTTTCTGGCTATTGCCAACCTTCAGCACTCTCCCAACATGGGCATTTGGATCTTTGAACATGCACAACACACAACTCTCCCTTCCATGCTCTGAAAATATGGTATTGCTGGGTTACAGCGTAGTCTCTAGGTTATTATAGATACTTCAAGCTGAAACATACTCAATGCTAATACTCAGTGCATACTCAACCTAAATATGTTGGATATGCATGGCCAGATCATGAAGCCCCAAAGCCCTCCAGGAAGTGCTATGAGGTGTGGGTATGACCATTTTGCAATAAGAGGGGTATTTCTAAGCTGTGTGGATGTGAGCCAGAAGGTGCCATTTGTCTTGTATTTAGCAGTGTAGAGTATGTATGTATGTAGCACTGTGAGTGCTTTTGACCCACGGGTGGGTCAGCTCTGCTCTGCCACTCCAGAATATTTGTCTTTCTTCTGTGCAGCTAAACCTTTGCTTTGGCTCATTTTAATTTTTCTTATTTTTCTCAATTACTTTCCTTACTCCTACTTTTATTACTGTTTATACCTTTTTTCCCCCCTTCACCTTAATTCTCTCATCATGTGTCTGCTGTCTGCATTCTCATTTCCAGCTTTGCTACAAGCCATTATTAGCATGGAGAGGGAATGCAGATGGCTTTCAAGGAGGTACAAGCTACTTTAAAAAAAAAAAAAAGCAGCATTTTGGAACTTGGGAGTAAGATGGAGTTGATTAATGCCATCTTTTCCTATTCCCTTACTACTGCTGTTCCCTCCCAACTATTCCAAATTCTTTTAAAAATAATTAACAGAAGCTTTCTGATTAATCCAGGTCCCTCTTCTTTGTATAAGGACAATCAAGATCCCTCCTCTAGTGCAGAAAGGGTTTGCTGGGGAGTGCTTAGCCCTGGTATCAGTCTTGCACTTAAAAACCTCCAGCAGGCTTGTCCTCCACTTCTTTTAATGTAAGTTCCCTGAAAAGAACAGGATTATGCAATAGCAAATAGCAGTACTTTTTTTTTACATTACGTTCAGTGCACTCTGGCATTTGTGTCCGTTGATCATCATGTCAGTGTGTTACTCAGTAATTTGCTTTTCTGAGCAGCCATGAACAGTAAGCTCCTGAGGATTTCATGGCCTTGAGGTTAGTAGCTTCTTGGGAGCAGAGCAAAGCAGAATGTTAAACTGTATAGCAGCTCTTACTAAGTTTTGGTTTTGCCATGACAGAAAACTGGCAGAATGCTTTTTCCATGGGTGTTTCCTTTGGTTTGGCTAAAACGGATTACTGGTGAGGGAAGAAAAAATTTCCATTCTTCTGCACATCTGCTGAGTGTTCCTTCCCTGCCCAGAGGACCACGGTTCGACTGCAGACCCCGAACAGGGTGCAGTGTGAGGGGTCTTGAAATGCCTTTAGGTGACAGAAATTTACTGTAATCCTCTTCTTTTTTTCTTTAAATAGAATCATAGAATGGTTTGGGTTGGAAGGGACCTTAAAGATCATCCAGTTCCAACCCCCCTGCCACAGGCAGGGACACCTCCCACTAGCCCAGGTTGCTCAGTGGACTGTTCTGGTTTTTGGTGCTTGACTTTGGAAACTGCCAGCAAACAAAAAGCTGACTGTGTCTTATGTTTTCCAAAATATATCTATTTAAGAGAGATATTTTGGAAAACTATGTAATATCTTATAGTTTCCAGATAAGAAAAATACAGAAATTATATAATCCCGATATAATCTCTTATATTTTCTATATAAGAAAATAATTTTCAAGAAATGAGTTTAGTTTTCCTTTTTTTCTCCGGAGAGCCAGTGAATATTTTGAGTAGAAAGCTTCATTTTATGTTGTTATTTAAGAAGGATTTTGTTATTTTATTCATTACTTTGAAGGGTTGGGATGGGGGGGGGAAGGAGAAAGCCAAAGCAGAAGGAGCAGGAGCGAGAGTCACATGAGAATCACCTTCGGCATTCATATCCAGGATGTATTAATTGAACTTGCTGGTCAGCAACTTATCATGTATAGTCTTTGAATACCAGTTGATGTAAGGAAATGGGCAATAGCTACAGAGAAACTTTGGGCTGATTCCCGATTCCTGGAACCTCAGTAGTGCTAATGGATACTTTGAATTTTCTCCCATTTTCAGAAGATTTCCATTATTCTTTCATGAATTAAGTACTATCTGACTATTCTGTTTCCACAGGTGTAACATATGGCATAAATATAAGCAAAGTCCGCAGACAGTTCAGACTGGGTTATTTGCATGCAAGATAGACCGTCAAAAGATCAATCAGTTGTAATAATCAATGTTTGAAAGATACAATATAAAATACAGTATCTGGAGCTGCAGATACATACAGAATAACAAAACCTTTCATTTTACCTGCAAATTCTTTTTTCCCCCTGATGTAATGTATTTAGGAATTTTTTAGTACAGAATCATAGAATCATTTAGGTTGGAAAAGACCCTTAAGGTCATCAAATCCAACCACCAACCTAACACTACCACCACTAAACCATGTCCCTAAGCACCACATCATATATATTCTGACAGGAAAGCTGTGGGTGATAGAATTGTCTCATGTTTTAAACAATATGGGTTCTGATATCCTCAGAAAGATTAGAAGAAATGTCATAGACTGTGCATTCAAAGCATCCTGCATTATCTTTTGCCCAGTTGCACTTGTCCACGAAAAGCTCTTAGCTCAGGTATGTGGAGGTTGGGTGTGTGTATAAAAGCTTCATGAGTGGGGGCACTGAAACCAAGATTAATCTTGCCAGACTTCAGTCACCTAAAAGGTGCCTAAGTTTAAGACGAGTGCTTAGGCTCCTTTGATAATTAATGACTTGAAACAGGTACTTCCAGAGTGCAGTTGCATCCAAAGTGTGTTGGCTAAGAGAGTTCGATCAATCAACTAGAGAGAGAACAGTTAAGTGCTAGCTGAAGCTGGGTGAAATGAAAGCCTCTTTGTCATCAGCTTTTCTGCAAGTGAACACCTTCAGCAAATTGTGGTCTAACATGTCGCTATCTTATCCCCGTTGTCCACATATGATGTGTGAACAATGCTGTGTATAGATGTATCAGAACCTTTACGTGCATCATGCTACTAGCATAAGCCATATATACACTTTGAAAGTCCGAGAATTTCTGAAAGAGTTACATTTGCCACCCCAGTGATGACTAGCTTCTTCCACCATGGACCCACCAGGGTTCAGGAATGTAGCTGTGAGTGGTACACAGTTAAGACTGTTCTTCTGCAGATTGTTCTGAGTCTGTGTTCTGCAGGATAAAACTGGGTACTGTCCTCTGAGGAGAAAGCAGACAACAGCAATTTGGGGTGGGCTGAAGTATTTTGTTTGCAAAAGATGCAGATACGTACTTATTGGAATTTATAACACACATATAGTATTCTTACAAGTCTGTCCAATATCCAATATTATTGCGATAGTGAACTGTGCTATTTTAGAGATGATTTTTATAATAACATCACCTTACCTTAATTAGCATCATGCAAATACAACTGTGTTACTATATCAAAAGCTGTGTATCTCTGCGAGGTAATATTCCACTCGTGATCATATTCCATATGCAGTATCTATTCTATATACTAGCGATGAACTGGTGCTCAGACTATGGACTGCTAAGTAGTGCAGATAAAATGTTAAATCCAAAATATGGTAGAAATGCAGAGTCTTATTGGATAACTTGTAAAATGAATAAGAATTTAAAAGTAAAATGTGACTACAGAACGGTTTGCCTTTGACCAGCCTAAACCTTTGTGTTAGTACATAGAGTTGCTAACAAGGTAATTGCAAACCAGGCCAGTGCTTTGAAATGAAATTAAAACCGTGTGAATGGTCATCAGAGTAAAATAGGTTTACACAAGTCACACTCAGGAGTGATTGTTCTTAGATGCTGAAGGATGTGCAGTGATGGAAAAGTATGCATTGTTGAGTGCTTTGTTTAACATGTTTGGTTTTTTCCTCACAGTACAGTGCTGTGGATACAAATCCTTTATCTGTGTACGTTATGCAGCCCATCTGGAACAAAATTATTAAGGTAAGAATTTTATTTAATAGAAATATCACATGATAATGTCAGAATTTGTTTTAAGTACAGCATGCATTTTCATTTAAAAATATGTATTGATTAATAAAGCTGAAATTAAGACATCTGTACAAAGGAAAACAAGTGTAATAGCATGTATAGCTGTATTTAAGATGAATATGTTTGGATTTTGAGGTGTGTTTTTTCAGAAAAACACGGTTTATCTATTTTTTTCTGATCACTATAAAAAAGGCATTAGTTTTTTTTAGAAAAACATGGTTTATCTATTTTTTCTGATCACTATAAAAAAGGCATTAATTGCTTTTTTACGTCTTTAGTTATTAGATCTTTCATTAAACAGCTTTGCAGACACTGAAGGGTTTACTTAGTACAAATTATTTTTGTGCAGCATATGCTGCCTAACAACCACATGGCTTTATCTCTGTGCTGTGCACATGATTTTATGCAAGTGCTGTCTCATTTTCTCCCAAGGGTGCTTGCTCGAGGGAGTGAGGCATTTCTCTAAGAAGCTGAAAATGAGAGCGGTTACCATGATCACCATACCGATTGGAAGATGGCATCTCTTGAATGCATTATGATCTGCAGTTCTTAGAAATAAAACCGCTCACAATTAGTTTTGCTGTTGCAGGCAAAAAAAGGCTGTCTCTCAAATAAGTATCAATTTTATTGATCTCCAAGGAAGCAATGACTTCTGCGTCTGCCTCTTTAGAGGAAATCTTTACACTGGAGCAGACTTGAAAACAAACCTTTATACAAACAGAAAAAGGATGTATATGATCGGAGTTCTATTGGATCTGCCATCTTTGGTTTCTGTAATCCAGGTATTGCTTATGCTTGGTATAGCAGGAAAATCATAATATCTCGCTCATAACCTCAGTGTAGTTTCCTGAAAGTCTTTATATGACCTAATTTAAGAATTAAAACAACAACCTGAACATGGTATGAGAGAAAAGCAATTCAAGGGTGTGAAACTGAATTCAATAATTCAGTTCAGAGACTCTGTTTTCATTCCCATCATAATATTGCAGAAAACAATGAGGCAGAAAAGCCCTCCCAGCACTCTGGAGTCTGGCACAGGAGATGAGCAGAGGCATTACTGTGCACTTGCACTTTGGTTTGGGAGATCCATGGGTATTCATCTGCTGTCAAAGGGAGAGTATTGTCAGCGAAAAACTTCCTTTGAAGAAAAGTTCTTCTAATGGTTGCAGGGTTTTCCTGGAAGAAAACCAACATTCTTGACTGTCCCCATGTAGCATAGGGTGATAGATCCTATAAAAAATGTGACCTCTTTAGATTTTTTTAAACCTCCTTAAATTTTAGGTGAACGTGATTTTGTTCACTTCTTACTGGAGGAGAACTCAGAGCACATGACTGAAAACCTATTTCAAAATCTGGGAGGTCTGAGAACGGAACCAAAGGCTGGAATGAGGGCTGTCTGTGCTTTGGCGTTTGGTTTGAACCTTGAAGGTAGAGCAATGAAAGTCCTGCTTTGCCTTCTGGTGCAAGGACATCTTTCTTATGTACTGTATCGTGTGCTTGTGTCAGTCTGGGTGTGATTTTTGGATGTATGTGCTTCAGAAACGTGTCGAATCGGGTGCTAAAGCAGAAAGTGAAGGGTAGTGTTTCATGCCTGGATTCTGTAATGGGCTTAAAGTACTCTGAGATACTCCTGTTTTGTGGCAGCTTTTCCGTGTTGTATGAGACTATAGTAACACCTCTATGAAACTGCAGAATAACAATTGACTTTCTCTACATGTTATTTAAAACCATTCTGATTATGCAACTATAGGTATTTTGTCTTTAATTAATTCAATCCTCTGTCCATTTGCCTTGAATTGAGATTTGTATTCTATAATAAAGCACACTCATTTGCTCTCTGACACATAATGGATAATATTACTTAGCTACTACATGAACTGAATATTCCTCTTCTATTTGTATTCATGAGAAATCATATGTGTGAAGGACAATGAGAGGAAAAGGCAGAAATCCCACTGGGATACACAGGTATATGCCAGCCCCATTGAAATCAATTACTGCTCCCCCTCAGTTGCCTTTATGAACTTTGATTTTATCACTAGAATTGGGCATGAGTGGAATTTTTATGATCTCAAGTGACTTGTTTAAGTAATATTTCAAGTTTGAACAGAGCTTTATATAAATGTTACTTTACCATTTACTATCCAAATAGGCAGTTGATATATTAAAACATTTGCTGTTTCTATTAAGGCTTTTCACATGAAAACCCATTAAAACAGAAATCAGTATTTTGTGGAGCTAAAAGATTTTTAAAAGGTTCAAGCATACAATGCTTTTGTCAGAGAGCAGACGTGATTCTCCCCAGTGGCACCTCCAGTTGTATTAATCATGTAGTGCATTGACCTATCTACTGCCTGTTAATTAGATACTAAAGATTGCAACGTATCCGTCTTTATGATACTAGTGTGTTCAGGTTGTATTTTTCCGACATGTCTAAGAAGTTAATCTTTAACCTCCTGTAATTTTTGAAACGTAAAATAAGGTGATGGTACTGTAATGCCAACCAAAGAATAAGGGGCATTAAATATAACAAAAGGAATTTTGCAACTGCAATAGTTTCCAAATACTGAAACAGATTAGATTCGGTAAGGATCAAAAGAGTATGCTCCTTTAGCTGTTTTTCACGGTGTGTCTACTAGCCAAAGGGATTGCAAGTATTGCAACATGCTTTTATGGTTTCCTCCTTAAAATACATGATGCTAGCAAAAAAATGGGTTAAAATGATGTCTTCATTTTTGCACTGTGTAAGCATAAATTATTTCCTGTAATAATTTAATAATGACATTGTGACTATTTAGAATGATGAACCTAAGCAGACATCTATGGTGCCCCACTTTATTTAATAATCAACAATTATTATGAAACATGTAGGAGAAATTGGTCATTTTAAAACAATACATTGGATGACACCTGTATATGCATGTAAATGGTTCATCCACAGGTTGTCTTAATGCACTATTTTGATCTATCTTTTTGATTAAAAGAGACCAATCCAGAATTTCTTCAGTGTCTGTCCTTCTTATTTCGTCTAAGTTCATAGACATCAGACAAATTCCCCAGCAGGCAATTCATACCAAGCCTTCATCTTACTAAGTTTCTGCATCCCCAGGTATAAAAATTAGGAGCTGTGCTGCCGTCGCTGCATGCTGAGCGAGCAGGCAACTGTGCAGCGAAGGGTTCCTCCTCAGGTGTTCTCCTAAAGGAGCTTCAGGGAGTGTTTGCTGTCACTTCTTCTTAGGGATTTAGAATTGGGCTTTTGAAGACTCCAGATGATAGACTGTTAACATTTTTTATTGTAGCTGTATGCATTCTGTGATGTATTTTAAATACTGTAAGAGCTGGCATAGAGTATTTTAAAATTAGTGATAAAATTCTGGTCGTAAGGAAAGCAACTGTCAAATTTAATATTCTTTTTTCCCAATGATTTTAATGACAACATCTAACAGATACAAATGAAAATTATTCAGGAATTTTCACCTGATTTTTGAAAGTTTACACTGTACACTATCAGTTGCACAATTTTTCCTGAATACTATTAATTGTTCTATAGTAGAAAAAGAAGCAAATTTTTCATGTAGTAATAGGGTAGAGGAAATGTGAAGATGTATATAAATGATATGTATTCTCCTGTCTGTCCATCTAGCTAGTCCAAATAAATTAATGAAACATTTGATTTCAAAACTATTATTAGTATCTGAAATTAACTTCCTTTTCTTTAATGTGATTTTGTAACATTTTATAATGTCGAAGTACTTTACATACATTTTCAGTCCTTAGACACTTTGATTATAAGCCTCCAATATTTTTGTATTTTGAATATATCGATACTGTGTTTGGCTAACAGTAGTGGTTGATACTTAGTATTTCTGCAAATATATTCTGTCTAAAAATAATGTAGGAGGCTGTATATACTATTTCAGTAAATACTTCAGAGAAACTGGGCTAATTTGGAAGAGCAGCATCAGAAAGGATCCCTGTTGCAATGAGAACGGTTAATGAGAGGGAGAATGAGAGGCTTAGGTGAAGAGGGAGAGTCCTTTTCAGCACTCTGCAGAGTAAAATGAATTAATGGCATGTTTATAATTTATGGCTGCAGAGGGAGACCCCACGGAAAGTTGCTATCTAGAGAACTGGGGAGCTGCTTGCAACAGGGAGACCTTCTGGATCTAAGAGATTAATGCACACTGTGTCTGATTTTGTTGGTGTTTTGAGCTGGAAATTATGGGCATATTTTAGAAGAGGAAGTTTCCTTGTTCTGGTGTGGGAATGGAATGCTTAAAAAACCCTGCCACGTGGATGCTGGATTACCACACCGGGGAGCTGCAGGCTTCTTTCCGTTGTGGTATACAGAATCACGAGAAGCTTTCCTCAGTGGCTGGGAAAATAAGGATAGTGTATGACATATGACATTTCAATACAGCTTTTTTACTGCAGTCATAAAGATCAGGCGAAAGGATTACATTTGAAAATCAACTTCAGGAATGAAAACTGTGTTTTAATTTGAAAATGGGAAAATGTGGACAAATCTGAATGTTGCTGATGTCATATACAGACTTCTCCTTTCCTGATAAAAAATAAAAAATATTTAATTAAAATAGGACTTATAATTTGAAACATGTTTTTCTCTTTGTTTTTGTTTTGTTTTTTTTTTTTCTTTCTTTCTTTTTTAACAGATAGTGCCTTTGTGGATTGCTCCCAACCTGTTAACCTTCTCTGGATTTGTCATGATTTTAGTTAATTATTTTCTAATATCTTTTTATGACTGGGACTACACCGCTTCAGGTAAATGTTGTCATGTTGTAAATGCAGAGCTGTTTATGTCCTGCTTCTAAATAATACAGGGAGGTATCAGATATCTGAATCTTCCACTCATTCCCTTAATGAGGCTTCATGTCCATACAGGAGGATCTGACCTCACACATGGCGTTATAAATTTAGGTCATTTTATTGGAACAGCTTATTTAATTCATCCCTAAATACAGGTTTCAGCATATGCTGCTTGAATTCTATAATATCCCATTTTATTTAAAGTGCGTGCCAGGATTAAATACACTGCCAAAAACCACCTTCATGTTCTTCATAAAATTTTCATTGGTTTCACTTTTCCTAATACCTAAATCCATGCCTGAAGGAGTTAATTCTCCTTTCATTACTCCATACCCACCCATTTGAGACTGCTACTAGACAAAGAAGAAATAGTGTTTCAACAAATCTTTCTTGAAATTATGACTTTCAAAGTCCAAGTCCCTATTGCTCCTCGTGACAGACAGTCAGAAGCTTTTTGGAGCTGGTTTCTCCTGAGCATAGGGCACTTTCAGCTCTGGACTTCTCAGACCAGCTGTTGGAGCTTACAGAAAATAGTAAGCATCTCCCAGGTGGCTAATATATAGAAAGCTTTGCTTTTCTTTAAACTTGACCATTTGGCGAAGACTTACCACTTTTATTTCCTGAAACAATTATGTTTGGGGTTTTTTTTCTACTTTTAATTATGCCTGCAGTTAGATTCAGGAGCTACTCTTTGGCATGAGCTGTTTGTACATTTATCACAATTCTGGAAGCAGGGATACTTGTTAGCAGTTTTGATTCAAAAATAATCATGTATGAACATCCAAACCAGATCTTTTAATGGGATCATTTTATCCTGACACATTCCCAGTAAATACACATTGAATTTGAAGATATTTGAAATGCTGATTTAGTCTGTTAGTTGAGATTTCTGTACGCCAGCCTCTTCTCGATTTCACACGAGAACAGTGCCCATCATTTCACAATGGATTGAAAACGTTCGTGCAACCTAATGAGCCTTCTGAGTATCACATATTAGTCCCATACCTAGGATCAGAAATAAAAGACTTAATTTCCTGGACAGCTGGTTTTCATTCTACAGTTTGAAAATTTGCAGCTAGGAGTCAGGAATTGCCCTCTGTTCTTGCAGAGAGGTAAGATGAGGCACTGAGAGAAGAGGTGGTCAGAGCGCTGCGTTAGGTCCTGGCATCTCCCCCTTCAGCAAGGACACACCTCTGTGTGTAAGTACCGAATGCCAGAACCCTGAGAGAGCTTATTTAGTGCCGGTGTTGACCTTATTGGGTAATGTCTAAGTTAAATAGAACACTCTTTGGAAAAAGGATTGGTTTCTTTAAAAGAGCAACAGTAACTGTGTGTTATTGCTATAAGCAGTGCAATAACAGAACCCTGGGTTCTGTCCAACTCAGCTTTCTTTTCCTTTTTTTTTCAAGGAAAAAAAGGAAGGGTGCTAATATATGTCCTAGCCTAAGGACAAAAATTTTCTGTTCAGATCTGTATGGTAAAAGTGCTATACAAAACCCATGTTGGCACTAATAATCATGATCATGCTTGAAAATAAGATTTTTTTTGTCTTCAGATAAACTTAAACATTAACTCATTTGCTGATGGATTCCATGACCTGTGAAAATTTTTTCCCTAGTTACTGTCATTATTTTGTGCAGTACTAGGGTCATTTCAGGACCAAAAAAACCTCTACCTTAGCTTCCCTCCTTTACGGTATAAACACATTCGAGCCTTCTCATTGTTTCTTTGAGAGAGCTCACTGATGTCCTTAAGGTCAAAACCAAATGTTTCAATCTGTTTGACGTAGCGGGCTCATCAGTGGCAGCTTGTTCTGTATACGCATATCTTGGTGGATTTCTTTGATGTTAACCACTGTTACACTGACTCACTACCCGATTTATTTCAGGTACCAGTCCTGGACTTGTTCCCACCTGGGTGTGGCTGTTCAGTGCTTTTACCACGTTTTGTGCTTACGCTTTAGGTAAAGTACGATGAAATAATTTACACATATGATGTCTTCCTGTGTTTTTATCTACTAGTTCATTGGTGCTCAGCACTATCAAAATGAAGAGGAAAGTGGATAAATCGTTGATCTCTCTCCAAAACAATTCTCTGAGATGGAAAAAACTCCCAAACCAACAATAAAAAACAGCCGTAAGGCTTAAAAAAAAAAAAAAGCAATTTTTAATGATATATTAGGGGTTCTATGAGCGTTACTCTTACCTCTTTTGAAAGTTCAAATAGTTTTAGAGAAACAGTGGAAATTATTACATAAGCAGCAGTCATTGCTGTTGAGTTTCACCAAAATCTTTGTCCCCCAACAATGACATTCTGAAAAGCTCCTTGGAGCTTCATTAGCAGAGGGTGCTTTCAAGAACAGGGAAAATAAAGCAGAGAAAACATAAATGTAGCATTGTGTTTTAACCTGTTAGGCACTTCAGTGCTTATGGTGTGTGTCGGGAGGGATGGTATGAATGTGTTGACAGGCCTGAGCTTCTTGTGGAGATGAAATATCTTTTTTTTTTTTTTTTTTTCTTTCCTGTGGCTGTTTTTCTCCCCTAACACCTATACCTCATCTTCAGTTTCATATTCCGTTTTTGCTTTTTATACCATACCATGACTGTATTTTTAGGTACATTGCATCCTGTTGTGCCCTGGTATGAAGACATAGACCTGAACTGGCTGTATCCCCTTGTGCAGACATCTCCCTCTGTGTTGTGAATGCCTTGCCATTTCTATTCAAGTGGCGAGTTTGTGCCAAAATTATTTTGTCCAGAATTTCTTTGTATTTGTAGCATAAAAATCATTGGGACAACTGTCCCTTGAAGCTGGCTACCGGTCAGATTTCCCTAGCAGTTCTCTGGAATCGTTAGCAGAAGCAGCAGTTTATTTTGTGAAAACCATCCTTTATGTAATTGTAGGGAATTTAATTAAGTGTCTGTTGTTTCATAAATAGGAATTACATATTGGAGCTGTTAGTGTATCACACCCCAGAAGGCTCATTGGAAATTCAGCTTCTGAGGTTCTTAATACAGATGTTATTTCCCAGTGAGGCCTATAGTTCCTAATACTTCGAAGACAAGGAATATGATGTTCACAGTCAAAGCTATAATGAACTGATGTATATGTAGATTTTTGTGTCTCCTGTCCAAGCCACTTCATGAAATATTTAGTCTCAGATTTAATTCTGCATGGCCAAAGTTTTCCCTTTGGAAGACTGCAGAGAGCCATAATAACTAACCAAATATGCAGCTTTAATCTCTCTTAGCTTCTTTTTAATGACACACTTACTCTCCAAATTCCCTTGCATGCTGCTCTTTTCCCCTCTCTTTGTTAAGGTGGTTTGGTATCTTTTTCCTTTCCATAAAATGGAATGCTCTTTGCTGTTATTTTGAATTCCACTATTTAAAAGTTATAGAAACTTTAATAAAACTGAAGATTTATGAGTCTTCATGACACAAAATCATAATGTAGTAATTCTAAGGCAGTGGAAGTGTGGGACAGCATATGTCCACTGTTGAACGTACACCACTGTTGGCATGAATGATTTCAAAGTGAAACCTAAAGAAGAAAATATTTTCAGTCTCTTAAAAAGCTAGTGAAACCACATGGAAATTGTGGGTAAGGATTTGTGAAAATACAATTTTACATATGCATTATACAGTTCTTATGTTTTTCCTCATGTTTGTTATAATTAGAATACTGTATTTCATGACACCTTTATAAGTCTAACTCTTTTTAGTAAAACGATCCTACAAAGTGAAACCCACTCTTTCACTGATGTACCTGTTTTAGTATCTAATGTGAATACTATTTTGTGACAACATAGAATGATTTATGAGCATACCAAACTTCTATCATTCTCATTAAAAAAGTATTGCCCCTGTAACTGAATTCTCTCTGATTTGGGATAGATGTTCTTGAAATATGAAAGACCATTTACTGTTTAGGGATGTTTACCTACCTATTTGCTAGTTAAGTTTCAGAAGAATCCTAAAATAGACAAAGAACTTCTACATTTGTACCACTGTTCAAGTAACCTCAAGCTTAAACACACAGTTTTCTTTCTGTACTTTATAGTAAGATGCTGACAATTCAATGGCAATGTTGATGGAGAGAGAATGCGGCCCTAGAAGAGGGCAAGCTGTATTTGAAATCCTCTATGAGATCTTTAATTTTCAGAGTTGTGTGAACTGTCTCAAGAGGTTTGTATTTGAGCAGAGGACATCTCACATCTGCTTAGGTTTTGCAATAGGGAGATGGTCTAAAATCTGTACAAGATGAAATCTCATGTTTTCCTGGTTTAGATCCCTGAAGTATATTTACATTAAACAAAACTCAGAGTACTGCCAAATACTCTGGAGAAGTAGCATATGATCTATAGCAGCTGTGGAGTCTTTGGTCTCACTCTGCTGAGTTGTATCTCTAGTCAGTTTTGGGTTACTGATGGTATTAGGAACTAATAATTGTTAGCTGTAGCACATTCCGACTAACATGAAAAAGAAAAGAATTCTCCGTATTATTTTGAGATTCAGGATAGCAATAAGAAATCTGTAAGGTTTGTACTTTTTCCTAAAAGGTTCATCCTGCATATGCACTTAACCTTAAGAGGAAAGTATTTCTATTTCTCACCAGCAGAGTCTCAAAGAAACTACGGGTATGGTTTGACAATACAGCTAAGAAGGGTTACAGCTGCTAGAGCCCCTTCTTCCTTCTCCCTGTGTCCACCACCCCTCCCTTGTGCCATCTCCCTTGCTTTTTGTACCATTCACAGGGCCAATTCTGTTCGGTGACCCAGATGAAAGCAAAGTGTTTGCTGTCTTTCCACCAGCTGAGCAGGTTTCAGGTCCTCCCCTGTTCAACAGCAGTGAACCCTCAGATCGACTCAAACCATATTGTCCACCTGCACCCTCAGAGTGAGATCCAGTACAGTGTGTTTGGGCATCTTTCAGGCACTTCAGTGTTAAAAGTGGTCAACACATAACTCACCTTAACAATAAGGTATTCCTGTCTCCTAATATTTCAACCAAAAGACTCTTTCAAATACCTTAAGTAGGCACACACGCAAATACATTTTGTGAAATTTGCTCCCTGAGGCTGCTATGTAACTATTAGTCATTGAAGCATTTAGCATCAGGCAACCGAAATGCCTCAGTGAATCTGCTCTGCAGTCTGAAGTCTCCGAGGGTCCACAACACCAACGGGTGGGCAAGAAGCCCTGTGGACACTTCTCAGCACTTTCATTGAGAAACTGATTGCAGAGACTGATATCAGAGTGTTTGAAGACCACTGGGGACAAGCAATTGTGAATGTCATTCTGAAGCTTGTAAGGAAGGTGTCATTTAGTTTAAGAGCTGAGGTGAGGACAGAAAAAATGACTTGACAGCTGAAGCGAATATTTTATGAGCAATGCTAATGTGTTGGTATTGAAAGGACTGTTGTGCTTCTGTTTGCTGTCATTGCTGTGTTTTTCCCATATGTTATGTACAGAAATAGTGAAGTGTACATGAAGAAAGTGACTCCTTTTGTTGTGCTCTAATTCTTCGTTTCATTTCCTTTCCCAATCCTTTTAGATTCCATAGATGGGAAGCATGCTCGAAGGACTCAGTCCAGTACTCCTCTGGGAGAATTGTTTGACCATGGGCTGGATAGCTGGGCTACCTCAATTTTTGTGCTTTCTTTTTTTTCTGTCTGTTCCCGTGACAACGGGAAGACTGGAGTTTCTGTATATACAATGTATATATATTTAAGCATTGTCTTATTTAACTTTATGTGTTCACACTGGGAGAAATATAACACAGGAGTTCTTTTTCTTCCTTGGGGATATGATATAAGCCAAGTGGTAAGTATTTATCATTCCTGTTTTGGTTTTATTTTTTTTAACTGTGTTAGTGTTTTCATAATATTACAGAAATAGAAAAGCAGAGCTCAAGGCAAATGTATTTGGCCAAGATTTTTAATGTGAAATAGCATAACCCTAAAAGTAATTCAGAAATATTTCCTGCGTTGGCAAAGAAGGGATGCTCTCAAGCAGATTGTCACCCTCAGAGATTCATTGCCTTGCAGGAAAAAGAGGCTTGCAGCACGCCTAGCAGTCAAATAGTGCCCATGAGAATGTCATTTAACCGCATTTGATTTGTGGTATCAACAAAAGCAATCCTATCTGAAGACATAAACAATTTTCCCATCAACACTAGGTTCTGAGGCATGATGTGAATTAGTCCAAGTAGTATTTATTAACAGTAATTACACAGTTTTACAATACTAGACCTTCTCAATTCTACCACCTCTTACATTCAGTGCTGTAACAGAAATAGTATTGTACCTGTACAGTGAGCATTAGCTGTTGTCAAGTGAGTTTTACCCTTGGAAAACAAAAGTCAGAGCCATACCATTAGAGGTTTCCTCTGGGGGAATGGTGTTCAGTAACGTGAATTACATATCAGCCCACAGCCAGTCGCCATCTGAGTTCTTGACCCTACCTTGAGGTGGACCTCTTCAGAAACATGACCAGGGCACCACGATGAGCGGTGGCCTCAGTGCACAAATGAGTAGCAGCAGTAACAAGATCGTTGCACTGTGAAGGGCCCAGCCCTGGGACTTCTGGCCTGGCTTATCTATTTCTTAGGTTGCCAGGCTCTTGCAGCCTGAAGAGCACAGTCCCATTCTTCTGAGCTTCGTGTCACAGGCATGAGATGAAAGGTACAGCTAAATATACATAATTGGAAAGGAGCTTGACAAATATTCAAATATGTGTTTTAATGGAAATACAGTATTTGAATTAATGGCTGCAGATGTATTGCTGTAAACATAATCAGAATCCAGTGGTTTGAGAACAACTCAGAGATGGTGGTCCAGCTGCGGTGCGTCTGTTTTGTCCTCTTGAAAATAGGTTCTGGGGGAAGAAGTTGGCTCAGAACTAAGATATTAAGCAGCCAGCTGGTCTGCAGGTTTCAGCCATGCCTTTGTAAGGCTTCTTAGTGAAGTTCTTCCAGCAGGAGAGGAATAGCTGTCTTCAAACCAATTTCACTTGTTGCTCAGATGATCCCTGTAGATATACATGTGAATGTTTAGAAAGCTCTTCTGGATTGCTACAGCATCCGAACTGTATTAGTGATTAAATATGGGAGTCAGTATCAACTGGTGGAGCAGTACTGTTAACTCTGTCAGTGCCTGTTACTGACCTATGCCTCTGTCACTGCTCTCCCTTCTGGGAACTAAGGGTAATAATGTTTCCCTGCCTGACAGATTTGTGGTGAGTCTGGGTTTCAGTAGAGTTTGTAAACTGCTTTGATTAACTCGAATGCAAGGTGCTAACAAGTGCCATTTCCTGTTTCCCTCTGATGCCAAATTGCTGTCCTGCATGCTTGCTTTCTACTAACTTCTGTGATGAT